AGCATGCGTCCGGACACAAGCATGCGTCCGGACACAAGCATGCGTCCGGACACAAGCATGCGTCCGGACACAAGCATGCGTCCGGACACAAGCATGCGTCCGGCATGCACAAGCATGCGTCCGGACACAAGCATGCGTCCGGACACAAGCATGCGTCCGGACACAAGCATGCGTCCGGACACAAGCATGCGTCCGGACACAAGCATGCGTCCGGACACAAGCATGCGTCCGGACACAAGCATGCGTCCGGACACAAGCATGCGTCCGGACACAAGCATGCGTCCGGACACAAGCATGCGTCCGGACACAAGCATGCGTCCGGACACAAGCATGCGTCCGGACACAAGCATGCGTCCGGACACAAGCATGCGTCCGGACACAAGCATGCGTCCGGACACAAGCATGCGTCCGGACACAAGCATGCGTCCGGACACAAGCATGCGTCCGGACACAAGCATGCGTCCGGACACAAGCATGCGTCCGGACACAAGCATGCGTCCGGACACAAGCATGCGTCCGGACACAAGCATGCGTCCGGACACAAGCATGCGTCCGGACACAAGCATGCGTCCGGACACAAGCATGCGTCCGGACACAAGCATGCGTCCGGACACAAGCATGCGTCCGAACACAAGCATGCGTCCGGACACAAGCATGCGTCCGAACACAAGCATGCGACACACATGCATGCGTCCGGACACAAGCATGCGTCCGGACACAAGCATGCGTCCGCACACAAGCATGCGACCGGACACAAGCATGCGTCCGGACACAAGCATGCGTCGGACACAAGCATGCGTCCGGACACAAGCATGCGACCGGACTCAAGCATGCGTCCGGACACAAGCATGCGACCGGACACAAGCATGCGTCCGGACACAAGCATGCGTCCGGACACAAGCATGCGTCCGGACACAAGCATGCGTCCGGACACAAGCATGCGTCCGAACACAAGCATGCGTCCGAACACAAGCATGCGTCCGAACACAAGCATGCGACCGGACACATGCATGCGTCCGGACACAAGCATGCGTCCGGACACAAGCATGCGTCCGCACACAAGCATGCGACCGGACACAAGCATGCGTCCGGACACAAGCATGCGTCGGACACAAGCATGCGTCCGGACACAAGCATGCGACCGGACTCAAGCATGCGTCCGGACACAAGCATGCGTCAGACACAAGCATGCGTCCGGACACAAGCATGCGACCGGACTCAAGCATGCGTCCGGACACAAGCATGCGACCGGACACAAGCATGCGTCCGGACACAAGCATGCGTCCGGACACAAGCATGCGTCCGGACTCAAGCATGCGTCCGGACACAAGCATGCGACCGGACTCAAGCATGCGTCCGGACACAAGCATGCGTCCGGACACAAGCATGCGTCCGAACACAAGCATGCGTCCGGACACAAGCATGCGTCCGAACACAAGCATGCGTCCGGACACAAGCATGCGACCGGACACATGCATGCGTCCGGACACAAGCATGCGACCGGACACAAGCATGCGTCCGGACACAAGCATGCGTCCGGAGACAAGCATGCGACCGGACACAAGCATGCGTCCGGACACAAGCATGCGTCCGGACACAAGCATGCGTCCGGACACAAGCATGCGACCGGACACAAGCATGCGTCCGGACACAAGCATGCGACCGGACACAAGCATGCGTCCGGACACAAGCATGCGTCCGCACACAAGCATGCGACCGGACACAAGCATGCGTCCGGACACAAGCATGCGTAAGACACAAGCATGCGTCCGGACACAAGCATGCGACCGGACTCAAGCATGCGTCCGGACACAAGCATGCGACCGGACACAAGCATGCGTCCGGACACAAGCATGCGTCCGGACACAAGCACGCGACCGGACTCAAGCATGCGTCCGGACACAAGCATGCGTCCGGACACAAGCATGCGTCCGGACACAAGCATGCGTCCGGACACAAGCATGCGTCCGGACACAAGCATGCGTCCGGACACAAGCATGCGTCCGGACACAAGCATGCGTCCGGACACAAGCATGCGTCCGGACACAAGCATGCGTCCGGACACAAGCATGCGTCCGGACACAAGCATGCGTCCGGACACAAGCATGCGTCCGGACACAAGCATGCGACCGGGCACAAGCATGCGACCGGACACAAGCATGCGTCCGGACACAAGCATGCGTCCGGACACAAGCATGCGTCCGGACACAAGCATGCGTCCGGACACAAGCATGCGTCCGGACTCAAGTATGCGACCGGACACAAGCATGCGTCCGGACACAAGCATGCGTCCGGACACAAGCATGCGTCCGGACCCAAGCATGCGTCCGGACACAAGCATGCGTCCGGACACAAGCATGCGTCCGGACACAAGCATGCGTCTGGACACAAGCATGCGACCGGACTCAAGCTTGCGTCCGGACACAAGCATGCGTCCGGACACAAGCATGCGTCCGGACACAAGCATGCGTCCGGACACAAGCATGCGTCCGAACACAAGCATCGTCCGGACACAAGCATGCGACCGGACACAAGCATGCGTCCGGACACAAGCATGCGTCCGGACACAAGCATGCGTCCGGACACAAGCATTGCGTCCGGACACAAGCATGCGTCCGGACACAAGCATGCGTCCGGACACAAGCATGCGTCCGAACATAAGCATGCGTCCGGACACAAGCATGCGACCGGACACAAGCATGCGCCCGGACACAAGCATGCGCCCGGGCACAAGCATGCGTCCGGACACAAGCATGCGTCCCGAACACAAGCATGCGTCCGGACACAAGCATGCGTCCGGACACAAGCATGCGTCCGGACTCAAGCATGCGTCGGACACAAGCATGCGTCCGGACACAAGCATGCGTCCGAACACAAGAATGCGTCCGGACACAAGCATGCGTCCGGACACAAGCATGCGACCGGACACAAGCATGCGTCCGGACACAAGCATGCGTCCGGACACAAGCATGCGACCGGACACAAGCATGCGTCGGACACAAGCATGCGTCCGGACACAAGCATGCGGCCGGACACAAGCATGCGTCCGGACCACAAGCATGCGACGGACACAAGCATGCGTCCGGGCACAAGCATGCGACCGGGCACAAGCATGCGTCCGCACACAAGCATGCATCGGACACAAGCATGCGTCCGGACACAAGCATGCGTCGGACACAAGCATGCGTCCAGACACAAGCATGCGACCGGACTCAAGCATGCGCTCCCGGACACAAGCATGCGACCGGACACAAGCATGCGTCCGGACACAAGCATGCGCCGGACACAAGCACGCGACCGGAATCAAGCATGCGGTCGGACACAAGCATGCGACCGGAAACAAGCATGCGTCCGGACACAAGCATGCGTCCGGACACAAGCATGCGACCGGACTCAAGCATGCGTTCCGGACACAAGCATGCTGTCCGAACACAAGCATGCGTACGGACACAAGCATGCGTCCAGACACAAGCATGCGTCCGGACACAAGCATGCCGTGCGACACAAGCATGCGTCCGGACACAAGCATGTGTCCGGACACAAGCATGCGACCAGACACAAGCATGCGTCCGGACACAAGCATGTGTCCGGACACAAGCATGCGTCCGGACACAAGCATGCGTCCGGACACAAGCATGCGACCGGACACAAGCATGCGTCCGGACACAAGCATGCGACCTGGCACAAGCATGCGTCCGGACACAAGCATGCGTCCGCACACAAGCATGCGTCCGGACACAAGCATGCGTCCGGACACAAGCATGCGTCCGGACACAAGCATGCATCCGGACACAAGCATGCGTCCGGACACAAGCATGCGACCGGACACAAGCATGCGTCCGGACACAAGCATGCGTACGGACACAAACATGCGTCCGGACACGAGCATGCGTCCGGACACAAGCATGCGACAGGACTCAAGCATGCGACAGGACACAAGCATGCGTCCGGGCACAAGCATGCGTCCGGACACAAGCATGCGTCCGGACACAAGCATGCGTCCGGACACAAGCATGCATCTGGACACAAGCATGCGTCCGGACATAAGCATGCGACCGGACTCAAGCATGCGTCCGGACACAAGCATGCGACCGGACACAAGCATGCGTCCGGACACAAGCATGCGACCGGACTCAAGCATGCGTCCGGACACAAGCATGCGTACGGACACAAGCATGCGTCCGGACACAAGCATGCGACCGGACACAAGCATGCGTCCGGACACAAGCATGCGTCCGTACACAAGCATGCGACCGGACTCAAGCATGCGTCCGGACACAAGCATGCGTCCGGAGAGAAGCATGCGTCCGGACACAAGCATGCGTCCGGACACAAGCATGCATCCGGACACAAGCATGCGTCCGAACACAAGCATGCGTCCGGACACAAGCATGCGACCGGACACAATCATGCGACCGGGCACAAGCATGCGTCCGGACACAAGCATGCGTCCGGACACAAGCATGCGTCCGGACACAAGCATGCGTCTGGACACACAAGCATGCGTCTGGACACAAGCACGCGTCCGGACACAAGCATGCGACCGGACTCAAGCATGCGTCCGGACACAAGCATGCGACCGGACACAAGCATGCGTCGGACACAAGCATGCGTCCGGACACAAGCATGCGACCGGACACAAGCATGCGTCCGGACACAAGCATGCGACCGGACACAAGCATGCGTCCGGACACAAGCATGCGACGTGGACGTTGACGTAGACGTGGACGTGGACGTGGACGTAGACAAGGACGTGGACGTGGACGTGGACATGGACGTGGACATGGACGTGGACGTGGACGTGGACGTGGATGTGGACGTGGACATGGACATGGACGTGGACGTGAACATGGACGTGGACGTGGACGTAGACATGGACGTGGACGTGGACATGGACGTGGACGTGGACGTGGACGTGGACGTGGACGTGGACGTGAAATGGACGTGGACTTGGACGTGGACGTGGACATGGACGGTGGACGTGGACGTGGACGTGGACCATGGACGTGGACATGGACGTGGACGTGGACGTGGACGTGGACATGGACGTGGACGTGGACGTGGACATGGACGTGGACATGGACGTGGACGTGGACGTGGACATGGACGTGGACGTGGACGTGGACGTGGACGTGGACGTGGACGTGGACAAAAAAATGAACGTGGACGTGGACGTGGACGTGCACATGGAAATGGACGTAGACATGGACGTGGACGTCGACGTGAACGTGGACGTGGACGTGGACGTGGACATGGACGTGGACGTGGACGTGAACGTGGACGTGGTCGTGGTCGTGGACGTGGACGTGGACGTGGGCGTGGTCATGGACGTGGACGTGGACATGGACGTGGTCGTGGTCGTCGACATGGACGTGGACGTGGTCGTGGACCTGGACGTGGACGTGGACGTGGAGGACGTGGACGTGGAGGACGTGGACGTGGACGTGGAGGACGTGGACGAGGACGTGGAGGACGTGGACGTGGACGTAGACGTGGACGTGGACGTGGAAGTGGACGTGGAGGTGGACGTGGACGTGGACGTGGACCTGGACGTGGACCTGGACGTGGACGTGGACGAGGACGTAGACATGGACGTGGACGTGGACGTGGACGTGGACGTGGACATGGACGTGGACGTGGACGTGGACGTGCACATGGACATGGACGTGGACGTGGACGTAGACGTGGACGTGGACGTGGACGTAGAAATGGACGTGGACGTGGACGTGGACGTGGAGGTGGACGTGGACGTGGACGTAGACATGGACGTGGACGTGGACGTGGACGTGGACGTGGACGTAGAAATGGACGTGGACGTGGACGTGGACGTGGACGTGCACGTGGACATGGACGTGGACGTGGACGTGGTTGTGGACGTGGACGTGGACGTGGACGTGAACGTGGACGTGGTCGTGGTCGTGGACGTGGACGTGGACGTGGACGTGGTCATGGACGTGGACGTGGACATGGACGTGGTCGTGGTCGTGGACGTGGACGTGCTCGTGGACGTGGACGTGGAGGACGTGGACGTGGAGGACGTGGACATGGACGTGGAGGACGTGGACGAGGACGTGGAGGACGTGGACGTGGACGTGGACGTGGACGTGGAAGTGGACGTGGACGTGGACGTGGACCTGGACGTGGACCTGGACGTGGACGTGGACGTGGACGTGGACGTGGAAGTGGACGTGGACCTGGACATGGACCTGGACGTAGACATGGACGTGGACATGGACGTGGACATGGACGTGGACGTGGACGTGGACGTGGACGTAGACATGGACGTGGACGTGGACGTGGACGTGCACATGGATATGGACGTGGACGTGGACGTGGACATGGACGTGGACATGGACATGGACGTGGACGTGGACGTGGACGTGGACGAGGACGTAGAAATGGACGTGGACGTGGACGTGGACGTGGACGTGGACGTGGACCTGGACGTGGACATGGACGTGGACGTGGACGTGGACGTGGACGTGGACGTGGACGTGGACATGGGCGTGGACGTGGACGTGGACGTGGACGTGGACGTGGACGTGGACCTGGACGTAGACGTGGACATGGACGTGGACGTGGACGTGGACTTGGACGTGGACGTGAACATGGACGTGGACGTGGACATGGACGTGGACGTGGACATGGACGTGGACGTGGACGTGGTTTGGACGAGGACATGGACGTGGACGTGGACATGGACGTGGACGTGGACGTGGACGTGGACGTGGACATGGACGTGGACGTGGACATGGACGTGGACATGGACGTGGACATGGACGTGGACATGGACGTGGACGTGGACGTGGACGTGGACATGGACGTGGACGTGGACGTGGACGTGGACGTGGATGTGGAGGAGGACGTGGACCTGGACGTAGACGTGGACGTGGACGTGCACATGGAAATGGACGTAGTCATGGACGTGGACGTGGACTTGAACGTGGACGTGGACGTGGACGTGGACATGGACGTGGACGTGGTCGTGGACATGGACGTGGACATGGACGTGGACGTGGACGTGGAGGACGTGGACGAGGACGTGGACGTAGAAATGGACGTGGACGTGGACGTGGATGTGGACGTGGACGTGGAAGTGGACGTGGACGTGGACGTGGACGTGGACGTGGAGGTGGACGAGGACTTGGACGTGGACGTGGACGAGGACGTGGACGTGGACCTGGACGAGGACGTGGACATGGACGTGGACGTGGACGTGGACGTGGACGTGGACATGGACGTGGACGTGGACGTGGTCGTGGACGTGGACGTGGACGTGGAGGACGTGGACGAGGACGTGGAGGACGTGGACGTGGAGGACGTGGACGAGGACGTGGAGGACGTGGACGTGGACGTGGAGGACGAGGACGTGGACGTGGAAGTGGACGTGGACGTGGACGTGGACCTGGACGTGGAGGTGGACGTGGACGTGGACGTGGACCTGGACGAGGACCTGGACGTGGACCTGGACGTGGACGTGGACGTAGACGTGGACGTGGACGTGGACGTGGACGTGGACGTGGACGTGGACGTGGACTTGGACCTGGACGTGGACGTGGACGTGGACGTAGAAATGGACGTGGACGTGGACGTGGACGTGGACGTGGACGTGGACATGGACGTGGACGTGGACGCTGGACGTGGACGTGGACGTGGACGTAGAAATGAACGTGGACGTGGACGTGGACGTGGACATGCACGTGCACGTGGACGTGGACGTGGACGTGGACGTGGACCTGGACGTGGACCTGGACCTGGACGTGGACGTGGACGCGGACGTGGACGTGGACGTGGACGCGGACGCGGACGCGGACGTGGACGCGGACGCGGACGTGGACGCGGACGTGGACGTGGACGTGGACGCGGACGCGGACGTGGACGTGGACGCGGACGCGGACGCGGACGTGGACGCGGACGTGGACGTCGACTTGGACGTGGACGTGGACGTGGACGTGGACGTGAACGTGGAAGTAGACGTGGACGTGGACGTAGAAATGGACGTGGACGTGGACGTGGACGTGGACCTGGACGTGGACTTGGACGTGGACGTGGACGTAGAAATGGATGTGGACTTGGACGTGGACGTGGACGTAGAAATAGATGTGGACGTGGACGTGGACTTGGACGTGGACGTGGACGTGGACGTGGACGTGGACGTGGACGTGGACGTGGACGTGGACATGGACGTGGACTTGGACGTGGACTTGGACGTGGACGTGGACGTGGACGTGGACGTGGACGTAGAAATGGACGTGGACGTGGACGTGGACGTGAACGTGAACGTGGACGTGGTCGTGGTCGTGGTCGTGGTCGTGGACGTGGACGTGGACGTGGTCATGGACGTGGACATGGACGTGGTCGTGGTCGTGGTCGTGGACGTGGACGTGGTCGTGTACGTGGACGTGGAGGACGTGGACGTGGAGGACGTGGACATGGACGTGGAGGACGTGGACGAGGACGTGGAGGACGTGACGGACGTGGACGTGGACGTGGACGTGGACCTGGACGTGGACCTGGACGTGGAACTGGACGTGGACGTGGACGTGGACGTGGACGTGGACGTGGACCTGGACGTGGACCTGGACGTGGACCTGGACGTGGACCTGGACGTGGACGCGGACGTGGACGAGGACGTGGACGCGGACGTGGACGCGGACGGGGACGCATACGTGGACGCGGACGCGGACGCGGACGTGGACGTGGACGCGGACGCGGACGCGGACGTGGACGCGGACGTGGACGTCGACTTGGACGTGGACGTGGACGTGGACGTGGACGTAGAAATGGACGTGGACGTGGACATGGACGTTGACTTGGACGTGGAAATGGACGTGGACGTGGACGTGGACGTGGACGTGGACGTGGACATGGACGTGGACCTGGACATGGACGTGGACGTGGACCTGAACATGGACGTGGACGTGGACGTGGACATGGACGCGGACGTGGACGTGGACGTGGACGCGGACGCGGACGTGGACGTGGACGCAGACGCGGACGCGGACGTGGACGCGGACGTGGACGTCGACTTGGACGTGGACGTGGACGTGGACGTAGAAATGGACTTGGACGTGGACGTGGACGTGGACATGGACGTGGACGTGGACGTAGAAATGGACGTGGACGTGGACGTGGACGTGGACGTGGACATGGACGTGGAAGTGGACGTGGACGTGGACCTGAACGTGGACCTGGACGTAGACATGGACGTGGACGTGGACGTTGACGTGGACGTGGACATGGACGTGGACGTGGACGTGGACGTGGACGTGGACGTGGACGTGGACGTAGAAATGGACGTGGACGTGGACGTGGACCTGGACGTGGACGTGGACGTGGACGTGGACGTGGACGTGGACGTGGACATGGACGTGGACGTGGACCTGGACGTGGACGTGGACATGGACGTGGACGTGGACGTGGACGTGGACGTAGAAATGGACGTGGACGTGGACGTGGACGTAGAAATGGACGTGGACGTGGACGTGGACGTGGACGTGAAGGTGGACGTGGACGTGGACGTAGAAGTGGACGTGGACGTAGAAATGGACGTGGACGTAGAAATGGACGTGGACGTGGACGTGGACGTGGACGTGGAGGTGGAAGTGGACGTGGACGTGGACGTGGAAGTGGACGTGGACGTGGACGGGGAGGTGGACGTGGACGTGGACGTGGAGGTGGACGTGGACATGGACGTGGATGTGGACGTGGAGGTGGACGTGGACGTGGACGTGGACGTGGACGTGGACCTGGACCTGGACGTGGACATGGACGTGGACGTGGACGTGGACGTGGAAGTGGACGTTGACGTGGACCTGGACGTGGACGTGGACGTGGACGTGGAGGACGTGGACATGGACGTGGACGTGGACGTAGACGTGGACGTGGACGTGGACATGGACGTGGTTTGGACGAGGACATGGACGTGGACGTGGACGTGGACGCGGACGCGGACGTGGACGCGGACGTGGACGTCGACTTGGACGTGGACGTGGACGTGGACGTAGAAATGGACTTGGACGTGGACGTGGACGTGGACATGGACGTGGACGTGGACGTAGAAATGGACGTGGACGTGGACGTGGACGTGGACATGGACGTGGAAGTGGACGTGGACGTGGACCTGAACGTGGACCTGGACGTAGACATGGACGTGGACGTGGACGTTGACGTGGACGTGGACGTGGACATGGACGTGGACGTGGACGTGGACGTGGACGTAGAAATGGACGTGGACGTGGACGTGGACGTGGACCTGGACGTGGACGTGGACGTGGACGTGGACGTGGACATGGACGTGGACGTAGACCTGGACGTGGACGTGGACATGGACGTGGACGTGGACGTGGACGTGGACGTAGAAATGGACGTGGACGTGGACGTGGACGTAGAAATGGACGTGGACGTGGACGTGGACGTGGACGTGGACGTGGACGTGAAGGTGGACGTGGACGTGGACGTAGAAGTGGACGTGGACGTAGAAATGGACGTGGACGTAGAAATGGACGTGGACGTAGAAATGGACGTGGACGTGGACGTGGACGTGGACGTGGACGTGGAGGTGGAAGTGGACGTGGACGTAGACGTGGAAGTGGACGTGGACGTGGACGGGGAGGTGGAGGTGGACGTGGACGTGGAGGTGGACGTGGACATGGACGTGGACGTGGACGTGGAGGTGGACGTGGACGTGGACGTGGACCTGGACCTGGACGTGGACATGGACGTGGACGTGGACGTGGACGTGGACGTGGAAGTGGACGTTGACGTGGACCTGGACGTGGACGTGGACGTGGAGGACGTGGACATGGACGTGGACGTGGACGTAGACGTGGACGTGGACGTGGACATGGACGTGGTTTGGACGAGGACATGGACGTGGACGTGGACGTGGACATGGACGTGAACATGGACGTGGACATGGACGTGGACGTGGACGTGGACGTGGACATGGACGTGGAAGTGGACGTGGACGTAGAAATGGACGTGGACGTGGACGTGGACGTGGACGTGGACGTGGACGTGGACATGGACGTGGACGTGGACGTGGACGAGGACGTGGACGTGGACGTGGACGTGCACATCGAAATGGACGTAGACATGGACGTGGACGTGGACGTGAACGTGGACGTGGACGTGGACGTGGACATGGACGTGGACGTGGACGTGGACGTGAACGTGGACGTGGACGTGGACGTGGACGTAGACATGGACGTGGACATGGACGTGAACGTGGACGTGGACGTGGACGTGGACGTGGACGTGGACGTGAACGTGGACGTGGTCGTGGTCGTGGACGTGGACGTGGTCGTGGGCGTGGTCATGGACGTGGACGTGGACATGGACGTGGTCGTGGTCGTGGACGTGGACGTGGACGTGGTCGTGGACGTGGACGTGGACGTGGACGTGGAGGACGTGGACGTGGACGTGGAGGACGTGGACGTGGAGGACGTGGACGAGGACGTGGAGGACGTGGACGAGGACGTGGAGGACGTGGACGTGGACGTGGACGTGGACGTGGACCTAGACGTGGACGTGGAAGTGGACGTGGACCTGGACGTGGACCTGGACGTGGACCTGGACGTGGACGTGGACGTGGACGTGGACGTGGACGTGGACGTGGACGTGGACCTGGACGTGGACGTGGACGTGGACCTGGACGTGGACGTGGACGTGGACGTGGACGTGGACGTAGAAATGGACGTGCTTGTGCACGTGCACGTGGACGTGGACGTGCACGTGGACGTGGACGTGGACGTGGACGTGAACGTGGACGTGGTCGTGGTCGTGGACGTGGACGTGGACGTGGACGTGGTCGTGGACGTTGACATGGACGTGGTCGTGGACGTGGACTTGGACATGGACGTGGTCGTGGTCGTGGTCATGGACGTGGACATGGACGTGGAGGACGTGGACGAGGACGTGGAGGACGTGGACGTGGACGTGGACGCGGAAGTGGATGTGGACGTGGACGTGGACGTGGACCTGGACGTGGACCTGGACGTGGACGTGGACGTGGACGTGGACGTGGAAGTGGACGTGGACCTGGACGTGGACCTGGACGTCGACATGGACGTGGACATGGACGTGGACATGGACGTGGACGTGGACGTGGACGCGGACGTGGACGTGGACGTGGACGCGGACGTGGACGTGGACGTGGACGTGGACGCGGACGTGGACGCGGACGTGGACGTGGACGTGGACGGGGACGTGGAGGTGGACGTGGACGTGGACGGGGACGTGGACGTGGACGTGGACGCGGACGTGGACGTGGACGTGGACGCGGACGTGGACGTGGACGTGGACGTGGACGCGGACGTGGACGTGGACGTGGACGTGGACGTGGACGTGGACGCGGACGTGGACGCGGACGTGGACGCGGACGTGGACGCGGACGTGGACGCGGACGCGGACGTGGACGCGGACGTGGACGTGGACGTGGACGTGGACGTGGACGTGGACGTGGACGTGGACGTGGACGTGGACGTGGACGTGGACGTGGACGTGGACGTGGACGTGGACGTGGACGCGGACGTGGACGTGGACGTGGACGTGGACGTGGACGTGGACGCGGACGCGGACGTGGACGCGGACGTGGACGTGGACGTGGACGCGGACGTGGACGCGGACGTGGACGTGGACCTGGACGTGGACGTGGACGTGGACGTGGACGTGGACGTGGACGCGGATGTGGACGTGGACGTGGACGCGGACGTGGACGTGGACGTGGACCTGGACGTGGACCTGGACGTCGACCTGGACGTGGACATGGACGTGGACATGGACGTGGACGCGGACGTGGACGCGGACGTGGACGCGGACGTGGACGCGGACGTGGACGTGGACGTGGACGTGGACGCGGACGTGGACGTGGACGTGGACGCGGACGTGGACGTGGACGTGGACGTGGACGTGGACGTGGACGCGGACGTGGACGTGGACGTGGACGTGGACGTGGACGTGGACGTGGACGGACGTGGACGCGGACGTGGACGCGGACGTGGACGCGGACGCGGACGTGGACGTGGACGTGGACGTGGACGTGGACGTGGACGCGGACGTGGACGCGGACGTGGACGCGGACGCGGACGTGGACGCGGACGCGGACGTGGACGTGGACGCGGACGTGGATGTGGACGTGGACGCGGACGTGGACGTGGACGTGGACGCGGACGTGGACGCGGACGTGGACGTGGACGTGGACGTGGACGTGGACGTGGACGTGGACGTGGACGCGGACGTGGACGCGGACGTGGACGTGGACGTGGACGTGGACGTGGACGCGGACGTGGACGTGGATGTGGACGCGGACGTGGACGTGGACGTGGACGTGGACGTGGACGTGGACGTAGAAATGGACGTGGACGTGGACGTAGAAATGGACGTGGACGTGGACGTGGACGTGGACGTGGACGTCGAAGTGGACGTGGACGTGGACCTGGACGTGGACGTAGACGTTACGTGGACGTGGACGTGGACGTGGACGTGGACGTGGACGTGGAAGTGGACGTGGACGTGGACGTGGACGTGGACGTAGAAATGGACGTGGACGTGGACGTGGACGTAGAAATGGACGTGGACGTGGACGTGGACGTGGACGTGGACGTGGACGTGGACAGGGACGTGGACGTGGACATGGACGTGGACTCGGACGTGGACATGGACGTGGACGTGGACGTGGACGTGGACGTGAACGTGGAAGTAGACGTGGACGTGGACGTAGAAATGGACGTGGACGTGGACGTGGACGTGGACCTGGACGTGGACTTGGACGTGGACGTGGACGTAGAAATGGATGTGGACTTGGACGTGGACGTGGACGTAGAAATAGATGTGGACGTGGACGTGGACTTGGACGTGGACGTGGACGTGGACGTGGACGTGGACGTGGATGTGGACGTGGACGCATGCTTGAGTCCGGTCGCATGCTTGTGTCCGGACGCATGCTTGTGTCCGGACGCATGCTTGAGTCCGGACGCATGCTTGTGTCCGGACGCATGCTTGTGTCCGGTCGCATGCTTGTGTCCGGACGCATGCTTGTGTCCGGACGCATGCTTGTATCCGGTCGCATGCTTGTGTCCGACCGCATGCTTGAGTCCGGTCGCATGCTTGTGTCCGGACGCATGCTTGAGTCCGGACGCATGCTTGTGTCCGGTCACATGCTTGAGTCCGGTCGCATGCTTGTGTGCGGACGCATGCTTGTGTCCGGACGCATGCTTGTGCCCGGTCGCATGCTTGTGTCCGGACGCATGCTTGTGTCCGGTCGCATGCTTGTGTCCGGACGCATGCTTGTGTCCGACGCATGCTTGTGTCCGGACGCATGCTTGTGTCCGGACGCATGCTTGTGTCCGGTCGCATGCTTGTGTCCGGCCGCATGCTTGAGTCCGGTCGCATGCTTGTGTCCGGACGCATGCTTGTGTCCGGACGCATGCTTGTGTCCGGTCGCATGCTTGTGTCCGGACGCATGCTTGTGTCCGGTCGCATGCTTGTGTCCGGACTCATGCTTGTGTCCGGACGCATGCTTGTGTCCGGACGCATGCTTGTGTCCGGACGCATGCTTGTGTCCGACGCATGCTTGTGTCCGGACGCATGCTTGTGTCCGGACGCATGCTTGTGCCCGGTCGCATGCTTGTGTCCGGTCGCATGCTTGTGTCTGGACGCATGCTTGTGTTCGGACGCATGCTTGTGTCCGGACGCATGCTTGTGTCCGGACGCATGCTTGTGTCCGGTCGCATGCTTGTGTCCGGACGCATGCTTGAGTCCGGACGCATGCTTGAGTCCGGTCGCATGCTTGTGTCCGGACGCATGCTTGTGTCCGGACGCATGCTTGTGTCCGGACGCATGCTTGTGTCTGGTCGCATGCTTGTGTCCGGACGCATGCTTGTGTCCGGACGCATGCTTGTGTCCGGACGCATGCTTGTGTCCGGACGCATGCTTGTGTCCGACCGCATGCTTGTGTCGGATCGCATGCTTGAGTCCGGTCGCATGCTTGAGTGCGGACGCATGCTTGTGTCCGGACGCATGCTTGTGTCCGGTCGCATGCTTGTGTCCGGACGCATGCTTGTGTCCGGTCGCATGCTTGTGTCCGGACGCATGCTTGTGTCCGGACGCATGCTTGTGTCCGCACGCATGCTTGTGTCCAGACGCATGCTTGCGTCCGGACGCATGCTTGAGTCCGGACGCATGCTTGTGTTCGGACGCATGCTTGTGTCCGGACGCATGCTTGTGTCCGGACGCATGCTTGTGTCCGGTCGCATGCTTGTGTCCGTCCGCATGCTTGAGTCCGGTCGCATGCTTGTGTCCGGACGCATGCTTGTGTCCGGACGCATGCTTGTGTCCGGTCGCATGCTTGTGTCCGGACGCATGCTTGTGTCCGGTCGCATGCTTGTGTCCGGACGCATGCTTGTGTCCGGACGCATGCTTGTGTCCGGACGCATGCTTGTGTCCGGACGCATGCTTGTGTCCGACGCATGCTTGTGTCCGGACGCATGCTTGTGTCCGGACGCATGCTTGTGCCCGGTCGCATGCTTGTGTCCGGTCGCATGCTTGTGTCTGGACGCATGCTTGTGTTCGGACGCATGCTTGTGTCCGGACGCATGCTTGTGTCCGGTCGCATGCTTGTGTCTGGACGCATGCTTGTGTTCGGACGCATGCTTGTGTCCGGACGCATGCTTGTGTCCGGACGCATGCTTGTGTCCGGTCGCATGCTTGTGTCCGGACGCATGCTTGAGTCCGGTCGCATGCTTGTGTCCAGACGCATGCTTTTGTCCGGACGCATGCTTGTGTCCGGACGCATGCTTGAGTCCGGTCGCATGCTTGTGTCCGGACGCATGCTTGGGTCCGGACGCATGCTTGTGTCCGGACGCATGCTTGTGTCCGGTCGCATGCTTGTGTCCGGACGCATGCTTGTGTCCGGACGCATGCTTGTGTCCGGACGCATGCTTGTGTCCGGACGCATGCTTGTGTCCGGTCGCATGCTTGTGTCCGACCGCATGCTTGAGTCCGGTCGCATGCTTGTGTCCGGACGCATGCTTGTGTCCGGACGCATGCTTGTGTCCGGTCGCATGCTTGTGTCCGGACGCATGCTTGAGTCCGGTCGCATGCTTGTGTCCCGACGCATGCTTGTGTCCGGACGCATGCTTGTGTCCGGACGCATGCTTGTGTCCGGACGCATGCTTGTGTCCGACGCATGCTTGTGTCCGGACGCATGCTTGTGTCCGGACGCATGCTTGTGCCCGGACGCATGCTTGTGTCCGGTCGCATGCTTGTGTCCGGTCGCATGCTTGTGTCTGGACGCATGCTTGTGTTCGGACGCATGCTTGTGTCCGAACGCATGCTTGTGTCCGGACGCATGGTTGTGTCCGGTCGCATGCTTGTGTCCGGACGCATGCTTGTGTCCGGACGCATGCTTGTGTCCGGACGCATGCTTGTGTCCTGACGCATGCTTGTGTCCGGACGCATGCTTGTGTCCGGACGCATGCTTGTGTCCGGTCGCATGCTTGTGTCTGGACGCATGCTTGTGTCTGGACGCATGCTTGTGTCCGGACGCATGCTTGTGTTCGGTCGCATGCTTGTGTCCGACCGCATGCTTGAGTCCGGTCGCATGCTTGTGTCCGGACGCATGCTTGTGTCCGGACGCATGCTTGTGTCCGGTCGCATGCTTGTGTCCGGACGCATGCTTGTGTCCGGACGCATGCTTGTGTCCGGACGCACGCTGGACGTGGACGTGGACGTGGACGTAGAAATGAACGTGGACGTGGACGTGGACGTGGACGTGGACATGCACGTGCACGTGGACGTGGACGTGGACGTGGACGTGGACGTGAACGTGAACGTGGACGTGGTCGTGGTTGTGGACGTGGTCATGGACGTGGACATGGACGTGGTCGTGGTCGTGGTCGTGGACGTGGACGTGGTCGTGGACGTGGACGTTGTCGTGGACGTGGACGTGGAGGACGTGGACGTGGAGGACGTGGACATGGACGTGGAGGACGTGGACGAGGACGTGGAGGACGTGGACGTGGACGTGGACGTGGACGTGGACCTGGACGTGGACCTGGACGTGGACGTGGACGTGGACGTGGACCTGGACGTGGACGTGGACGTGAACCTGGACGTGGACCTGGACGTGGACGTGGACGTGGACGTGGACGTGGACGTGGACCTGGACGTGGACGCGGACGTGGACCTGGACGTGGACGCGGACGTGGACGCGGACGCGGACGCGGACGTGGACGCGGACGTGGACGCGGACGCGGACGCGGACGTGGACGCGGACGCGGACGCGGACGTGGACGTGGACGTGGACGTAGACTTGGACGTGGACGTGGACGTGGACGTGGACGTGAACGTGGAAGTAGACGTGGACGTGGACGTAGAAATGGACGTGGACGTGGACGTGGACGTGGACCTGGACGTGGACTTGGACGTGGACGTGGACGTAGAAATGGATGTGGACTTGGACGTGGACGTGGACCTAGAAATAGATGTGGACGTGGACGTGGACTTGGACGTGGACGTGGACGTGGACGTGGACGTGGACTTGGACGTGGACGTGGACGTGGACGTGGACATGGACGTGGACGTGGACATGGACGTGGACTTGGACGTGGACGTGGACGTGGACGTGGACGTGGACGTGGACGTAGAAATGGACGTGGACGTGGACGTGGACGTGGACGTGGACGTGAACGTGAACGTGGACGTGGTCGTGGTCGTGGTCGTGGACGTGGACGTGGACGTGGACGTGGTCATGGACGTGGACATGGACGTGGTCGTGGTCGTGGTCGTGGACGTGGACGTGGTCGTGTACGTGGACGTGGAGGACGTGGAGGACGTGGACGTGGAGGACGTGGACATGGACGTGGAGGACGTGGACGAGGACGTGGAGGACGTGGACGTGGACGTGGACGTGGACGTGGACGTGGACCTGGACGTGGACCTGGACGTGGAACTGGATGTGGACGTGGACGTGGACTTGGAACTGGACGTGGACATGGACGTGGACGTGGACGTGGACCTGGACGTGGACCTGGACGTGGACCTGGACGTGGACCTGGACGTGGACGCGGACGTGGACGAGGACGTGGACGCGGACGTGGACGCGGACGGGGACGCAGACGTGGACGCGGACGCGGACGCGGACGTGGACGTGGACGCGGACGCGGACGCGGACGTGGACGCGGACGTGGACGTCGACTTGGACGTGGACGTGGACGTGGACGTGGACGTAGAAATGGACGTGGACGTGGACGTGGACGTGGACATGGACGTTGACTTGGACGTGGAAATGGACGTGGACGTGGACGTGGACGTGGACGTGGACATGGACGTGGACCTCGACATGGACGTGGACGTGGACCTGAACATGGACGTGGACGTGGACGTGGACGTGGACATGGACGCGGACGTGGACGTGGACGTGGACGCGGACGCGGACGTGGACGTGGACGCGGACGCGGACGCGGACGTGGACGCGGACGTGGACGTCGACTTGGACGTGGACGTGGACGTGGACGTAGAAATGGACTTGGACGTGGACGTGGACGTGGACATGGACGTGGACGTGGACGTAGAAATGGACGTGGACGTGGACGTGGACGTGGACGTGGACATGGACGTGGAAGTGGACGTGGACGTGGACCTGAACGTGGACCTGGACGTAGACATGGACGTGGACGTGGACGTTGACGTGGACGTGGACGTGGACATGGACGTGGACGTGGACGTGGACGTGGACGTGGACGTGGACGTAGAAATGGACGTGGACGTGGACGTGGACCTGGACGTGGACGTGGACGTGGACGTGGACGTGGACGTGGACGTCGACATGGACGTGGACGTGGATCTGGACGTGGACGTGGACATGGACGTGGACGTGGACGTGGACGTGGACGTAGAAATGGACGTGGACGTGGACGTGGACGTAGAAATGGACGTGGACGTGGACGTGGACGTGGACGTGAAGGTGGACGTGGACGTGGACGTAGAAGTGGACGTGGACGTAGAAATGGACGTGGACGTAGAAATGGACGTGGACGTGGACGTGGACGTGGACGTGGACGTGGAGGTGGAAGTGGACGTGGACGTGGACGTGGAAGTGGACGTGGACGTGGACGGGGAGGTGGACGTGGACGTGGACGTGGAGGTGGACGTGGACATGGACGTGGATGTGGACGTGGAGGTGGACGTGGACGTGGACGTGGACGTGGACCTGGACCTGGCAAGGACATGGACGTGGACGTGGACGTGGACATGGAAGTGGACGTTGACATGGACCTGGACGTGGACGTGGACGTGGACGTGGAGGACGTGGACATGGACGTGGACGTGGACGTAGACGTGGACGTGGACGTGGACATGGACGTGGTTTGGACGAGGACATGGACGTGGACGTGGACGTGGACGCGGACGCGGACGTGGACGCGGACGTGGACGTCGACTTGGACGTGGACGTGGACGTGGACGTAGAAATGGACTTGGACGTGGACGTGGACGTGGACATGGACGTGGACGTGGACGTAGAAATGGACGTGGACGTGGACGTGGACGTGGACGTGGACATGGACGTGGAAGTGGACGTGGACGTGGACCTGAACGTGGACCTGGACGTAGACATGGACGTGGACGTGGACGTTGACGTGGACGTGGACGTGGACATGGACGTGGACGTGGACGTGGACGTGGACGTGGACGTAGAAATGGACGTGGACGTGGACGTGGACCTGGACGTGGACGTGGACGTGGACGTGGACGTGGACGTGGACATGGACGTGGACGTGGACCTGGACGTGGACGTGGACATGGACGTGGACGTGGACGTGGACGTGGACGTGGACGTAGAAATGGACGTGGACGTGGACGTGGACGTAGAAATGGACGTGGACGTGGACGTGGACGTGGACGTGGACGTGGACGTGGACGTGAAGGTGGACGTGGACGTGGACGTAGAAGTGGACGTGGACGTAGAAATGGACGTGGACGTAGAAATGGACGTGGACGTAGAAATGGACGTGGACGTGGACGTGGACGTGGACGTGGACGTGGAGGTGGAAGTGGACGTGGACGTGGACGTGGAAGTGGACGTGGACGTGAACGGGGAGGTGGACGTGGACGTGGACGTGGAGGTGGACGTGGACATGGACGTGGACGTGGACGTGGAGGTGGACGTGGACGTGGACGTGGACCTGGACGTGGACATGGACGTGGACGTGGACGTGGACGTGGAAGTGGACGTTGACGTGGACCTGGACGTGGACGTGGACGTGGACGTGGACGTGGAGGACGTGGACATGGACGTGGACGTGGACGTAGACGTGGACGTGGACGTGGACATGGACGTGGTTTGGACGAGGACATGGACGTGGACGTGGACGTGGACATGGACGTGAACATGGACGTGGACATGGACGTGGACGTGGACGTGGACGTGGACATGGACGTGGACGTGGACGTGGACGTAGAAATGGACGTGGACGTGGACGTGGACGTGGACATGGACGTAGACGTGGACGTGGACGAGGACGTGGACGTGGACGTGGACGTGCACATCGAAATGGACGTAGACATGGACGTGGACGTGGACGTGAACGTGGACGTGGACGTGGACGTGGACATGGACGTGGACGTGGACGTGGACGTGAACGTGGACGTGGACGTGGACGTGGACGTAGACATGGACGTGGACATGGACGTAAACGTGGACGAGGACGTGGACGTGGACGTGGACGTGGACGTGGACGTGAACGTGGACGTGGTCGTGGTCGTGGACGTGGACGTGGTCGTGGGCGTGGTCATGGACGTGGACGTGGACATGGACGTGGTCGTGGTCGTGGACGTGGACGTGGACGTGGTCGTGGACGTGGACGTGGACGTGGAGGACGTGGACGTGGACGTGGAGGACGTGGACGTGGAGGACGTGGACGAGGACGTGGAGGACGTGGACGAGGACGTGGAGGACGTGGACGTGGACGTGGACGTGGACCTAGACGTGGACGTGGAAGTGGACGTGGACCTGGACGTGGACCTGGACGTGGACCTGGACGTGGACGTGGACGTGGACGTGGACGTGGACGTGGACCTGGACGTGGACGTAGACGTGGACCTGGACGTGGACGTGGACGTGGACGTGGACGTGGACGTGGACGTAGAAATGGACGTGCTTGTGCACGTGCACGTGGACGTGGACGTGCACGTGGACGTGGACGTGGACGTGGACGTGGACGTGAACGTGGACGTGGTCGTGGTCGTGGACGTGGACGTGGACGTGGTCGTGGACGTTGACATGGACGTGGTCGTGGACGTGGACTTGGACATGGACGTGGTCGTGGTCGTGGTCATGGACGTGGACATGGACGTGGAGGACGTGGACGAGGACGTGGAGGACGTGGACGTGGACGCGGAAGTGGACGTGGACGTGGACGTGGACGTGGACGTGGACCTGGACGTGGACCTGGACGTGGACGTGGACGTGGACGTGGAAGTGGACGTGGACCTGGACGTGGACCTGGACGTCGACATGGACGTGGACATGGACGTGGACATGGACGTGGACGTGGACGTGGACGTGGACGCGGACGCGGACGTGGACGCGGACGTGGACGTGGACGCGGACGTGGACGTGGACGTGGACGTGGACGTGGACGCGGACGTGGACGTGGACGTGGACGCGGACGTGGACGTGGACGTGGACGTGAACGTGGACGTGGACGTGGACGTGGACGTGGACGTGGACGTGGACGTGGACGTAGAAATGGACGTGGACGTGGACGTGGACGTGGACGTGGACGTGGACGTCGAAGTGGACGTGGACGTGGACCTGGACGTGGACGTGGACGTTACGTGGACGTGGACGTGGACGTGGACTTGGACGTGGAAGTGGACGTGGACGTGGACGTGGACGTGGACGTAGAAATGGACGTGGACGTGGACATGGACGTAGAAATGGACGTGGACGTGGACGTGGACGTGGACGTGGACGTGGACGTGGACGTGGACGTGGACAGGGACGTGGACGTGGACATGGACGTGGACTCGGACGTGGACATGGACGTGGACGTGGACGTGGACGTGGACGTGGACGTGGACGTGGACGTAGAAATGGACGTGGACGTGGACGTGGACGTGGACGTGGATGTGGACGTGGACGCATGCTTGAGTCCGGTCGCATGCTTGTGTCCGGACGCATGCTTGTGTCCGGACGCATGCTTGAGTCCGGACGCATGCTTGTGTCCGGACGCATGCTTGTGTCCGGACGCATGCTTGTGTCCGGACGCATGCTTGTGTCCGGACGCATGCTTGTGTCCGGACGCATGCTTGTGTCCGGACTCATGCTTGAGTCCGGACGCATGCTTGTGTCCGGACGCATGCTTGTGTCCGGTCGCATGCTTGTGTCCGGACGCATGCTTGTGTCCGGACGCATGCTTGTATCCGGTCGCATGCTTGTGTCCGACCGCATGCTTGAGTCCGGTCGCATGCTTGTGTCCGGACGCATGCTTGAGTCCGGACGCATGCTTGTGTCCGGTCGCATGCTTGAGTCCGGTCGCATGCTTGTGTGCGGACGCATGCTTGTGTCCGGACGCATGCTTGTGCCCGGTCGCATGCTTGTGTCCGGACGCATGCTTGTGTCCGGTCGCATGCTTGTGTCCGGACGCATGCTTGTGTCCGACGCATGCTTGTGTCCGGACGCATGCTTGTGTCCGGACGCATGCTTGTGTCCGGTCGCATGCTTGTGTCCGGCCGCATGCTTGAGTCCGGTCGCATGCTTGTGTCCGAACGCCTGCTTGTGTCCGGACGCATGCTTGTGTCCGGACGCATGCTTGTGTCCGGACGCATGCTTGTGTCCGGTCGCATGCTTGTGTCCGGACTCATGCTTGTGTCCGGACGCATGCTTGTGTCCGGACGCATGCTTGTGTCCGGACGCATGCTTCTGTCCGACGCATGCTTGTGTCCGGACGCATACTTGTGTCCGGACGCATGCTTGTGCCCGGTCGCATGCTTGTGTCCGGTCGCATGCTTGTGTCTGGACGCATGCTTGTGTTCGGACGCATGCTTGTGTCCAGACGCATGCTTGTGTCCGGACGCATGCTTGTGTCCGGTCGCATGCTTGTGTCCGGACGCATGCTTGAGTCCGGACGCATGCTTGAGTCCGGTCGCATGCTTGTGTCCGGACGCATGCTTGTGTCCGGACGCATGCTTGTGTCCGGACGCATGCTTGTGTCTGGTCGCATGCTTGTGTCCGGACGCATGCTTGTGTCCGGACGCATGCTTGTGTCCGGACGCATGCTTGAGTCCGGACGCATGCTTGTGTCCGGACGCATGCTTGTGTCCGGACGCATGCTTGTGTCCGGACGCATGCTTGTGTCCGGACGCATGCTTGTGTCCGGACGCATGCTTGTGTCCGGACGCATGCTTGAGTCCGGACGCATGCTTGTGTCCGGACGCATGCTTGTGTCCGGACGCATGCTTGTATCCGGTCGCATGCTTGTGTCCGACCGCATGCTTGAGTCCGGTCGCATGCTTGTGTCCGGACGCATGCTTGAGTCCGGACGCATGCTTGTGTCCGGTCGCATGCTTGAGTCCGGTCGCATGCTTGTGTGCGGACGCATGCTTGTGTCCGGACGCATGCTTGTGCCCGGTCGCATGCTTGTGTCCGGACGCATGCTTGTGTCCGGTCGCATGCTTGTGTCCGGACGCATGCTTGTGTCCGACGCATGCTTGTGTCCGGACGCATGCTTGTGTCCGGACGCATGCTTGTGTCCGGTCGCATGCTTGTGTCCGGCCGCATGCTTGAGTCCGGTCGCATGCTTGTGTCCGGACGCATGCTTGTGTCCGGACGCATGCTTGTGTCCGGTCGCATGCTTGTGTCCGGACGCATGCTTGTGTCCGGTCGCATGCTTGTGTCCGGACTCATGCTTGTGTCCGGACGCATGCTTGTGTCCGGACGCATGCTTGTGTCCGGACGCATGCTTGTGTCCGACGCATGCTTGTGTCCAGACGCATGCTTGTGTCCGGACGCATGCTTGTGCCCGGTCGCATGCTTGTGTCCGGTCGCATGCTTGTGTCTGGACGCATGCTTGTGTTCGGACGCATGCTTGTGTCCGGACGCATGCTTGTGTCCGGACGCATGCTTGTGCCCGGTCGCATGCTTGTGTCCGGACGCATGCTTGAGTCCGGACGCATGCTTGAGTCCGGTCGCATGCTTGTGTCCGGACGCATGCTTGTGTCCGGACGCATGCTTGTGTCCGGACGCATGCTTGTGTCTGGTCGCATGCTTGTGTCCGGACGCATGCTTGTGTCCAGACGCATGCTTGTGTCCGGACGCATGCTTGTGTCCGGACGCATGCTTGTGTCCGACCGCATGCTTGTGTCCGATCGCATGCTTGTGTCCGGACGCACGCTTGTGTCCGGTCGCATGCTTGTGTCCGTCCGCATGCTTGAGTCCGGTCGCATGCTTGTGTCCGGACGCATGCTTGTGTCCGGACGCATGCTTGTGTCCGGTCGCATGCTTGTGTCCGGACGCATGCTTGTGTCCGGTCGCATGCTTGTGTCCGGACGCATGCTTGTGTCCGGACGCATGCTTGTGTCCGGACGCATGCTTGTGTCCGGACGCATGCTTGTGTCCGACGCATGCTTGTGTCCGGACGCATGCTTGTGTCCGGACGCATGCTTGTGCCCGGTCGCATGCTTGTGTCCGGTCGCATGCTTGTGTCTGGACGCATGCTTGTGTTCGGACGCATGCTTGTGTCCGGACGCATGCTTGTGTCCGGTCGCATGCTTGTGTCTGGACGCATGCTTGTGTTCGGACGCATGCTTGTGTCCGGACGCATGCTTGTGTCCGGACGCATGCTTGTGTCCGGTCGCATGCTTGTGTCCGGACGCATGCTTGAGTCCAGTCGCATGCTTGTGTCCAGGCGCATGCTTTTGTCCGGACGCATGCTTGTGTCCGGACGCATGCTTGAGTCCGGTCGCATGCTTGTGTCCGGACGCATGCTTGTGTCCGGACGCATGCTTGTGTCCGGACGCATGCTTGTGTCCGGTCGCATGCTTGTGTCCGGACGCATGCTTGTGTCCGGACGCATGCTTGTGTCCGGACGCATGCTTGTGCCCGGACGCATGCTTGTGTCCGGTCGCATGCTTGTGTCTGGACGCATGCTTGTGTTCGGACGCATGCTTGTGTCCGGACGCATGCTTGTGTCCGGACGCATGCTTGTGCCCGGTCGCATGCTTGTGTCCGGACGCATGCTTGAGTCCGGACGCATGCTTGAGTCCGGTCGCATGCTTGTGTCCGGACGCATGCTTGTGTCCGGACGCATGCTTGTGTCCGGACGCATGCTTGTGTCTGGTCGCATGCTTGTGTCCGGACGCATGCTTGTGTCCAGACGCATGCTTGTGTCCGGACGCATGCTTGTGTCCGGACGCATGCTTGTGTCCGACCGCATGCTTGTGTCCGATCGCATGCTTGTGTCCGGACGCACGCTTGTGTCCGGTCGCATGCTTGTGTCCGTCCGCATGCTTGAGTCCGGTCGCATGCTTGTGTCCGGACGCATGCTTGTGTCCGGACGCATGCTTGTGTCCGGTCGCATGCTTGTGTCCGGACGCATGCTTGTGTCCGGTCGCATGCTTGTGTCCGGACGCATGCTTGTGTCCGGACGCATGCTTGTGTCCGGACGCATGCTTGTGTCCGGACGCATGCTTGTGTCCGACGCATGCTTGTGTCCGGACGCATGCTTGTGTCCGGACGCATGCTTGTGCCCGGTCGCATGCTTGTGTCCGGTCGCATGCTTGTGTCTGGACGCATGCTTGTGTTCGGACGCATGCTTGTGTCCGGACGCATGCTTGTGTCCGGTCGCATGCTTGTGTCTGGACGCATGCTTGTGTTCGGACGCATGCTTGTGTCCGGACGCATGCTTGTGTCCGGACGCATGCTTGTGTCCGGTCGCATGCTTGTGTCCGGACGCATGCTTGAGTCCGGTCGCATGCTTGTGTCCAGACGCATGCTTTTGTCCGGACGCATGCTTGTGTCCGGACGCATGCTTGAGTCCGGTCGCATGCTTGTGTCCGGACGCATGCTTGTGTCCGGACGCATGCTTGTGTCCGGACGCATGCTTGTGTCCGGTCGCATGCTTGTGTCTGGACGCATGCTTGTGTCCGGACGCATGCTTGTGTCCGGACGCATGCTTGTGCCCGGACGCATGCTTGTGTCCGGTCGCATGCTTGTGTCCGACCGCATGCTTGAGTCCGGTCGCATGCTTGTGTCCGGACGCATGCTTGTGTCCGGACGCATGCTTGTGTCCGGTCGCATGCTTGTGTCCGGACGCATGCTTGAGTCCGGTCGCATGCTTGTGTCCCGACGCATGCTTGTGTCCGGACGCATGCTTGTGTCCGGACGCATGCTTGTGTCCGGACGCATGCTTGTGTCCGACGCATGCTTGTGTCCGGACGCATGCTTGTGTCCGGACGCATTCTTGTGCCCGGACGCATGCTTGTGTCCGGTCGCATGCTTGTGTCCGGTCGCATGCTTGTGTCTGGACGCATGCTTGTGTTCGGACGCATGCTTGTGTCCGAACGCATGCTTGTGTCCGGACGCATGCTTGTGTCCGGTCGCATGCTTGTGTCCGGACGCATGCTTGTGTCCGGACGCATGCTTGTGTCCGGACGCATGCTTGTGTCCTGACGCATGCTTGTGTCCGGACGCATGCTTGTGTCCGGACGCATGCTTGTGTCCGGTCGCATGCTTGTGTCCGGACGCATGCTTGTGTCCAGACGCATGCTTGTGTCTGGACTCATGCTTGTGTCCGGACGCATGCTTGTGTTCGGTCGCGTGCTTGTGTCCGACCGCATGCTTGAGTCCGGTCGCATGCTTGTGTCCCGACGCATGCTTGTGTCCGGACGCATGCTTGTGTCCGGTCGCATGCTTGTGTCCGGACGCATGCTTGTGTCCGGACGCATGCTTGTGTCCGGACGCATGCTTGTGTCCGGACGCATGCTTGTGTCTGGACGCATGCTTGTGTCCGGTCGCATGCTTGTGTCCGGACGCATGCTTGTGTCCGGACGCATGCTTGTGTCCAGACGCATGCTTGTGTCCGGACGCATGCTTGTGTCCGCACGCATGCTTGTGTCCGGTCGCATGCTTGTGTCCGACCGCATGCTTGAGTCCGGTCGCATGCTTGTGTCCGGACGCATGCTTGTGTCCGGACGCATGCTTGTGTCCGACGCATGCTTGTGTCCGGACGCATGCTTGTGTACGGATGCATGCTTGTGCCCGGTCGCATGCTTGTGTCCGGACGCATGCTTGTGTCCGACGCATGCTTGTGTCCGGACGCATGCTTGTGTACGGACGCATGCTTGTGTCCGGACGCATGCTTGAGTCCGGTCGCATGCTTGTGACCGGACGCATGCTTGTGTCCGGACGCATGCTTGTGTCCGACGCATGCTTGTGTCTGGACGCATGCTTGTGTGTGGACGCATGCTTGTGCCCGGTCACATGCTTGTGTCCGGACGCATGCTTGTGTCCGGACGCATGCTTGTGTCCGGACGCATGCTTGTGTACGGACGCATGCTTGTGTCCGGACGCATGCTTGAATCCGGTCGCATGCTTGTGTCCGGACGCATGCTTGTGTCCGGACGCATGCTTGTGTCTAACGCATGCTTGTGTCCGGACGCATGCTTGTGTGCGGACGCATGCTTGTGCCCGGTCGCATGCTTGTGTCCGGACGCATGCTTGTGTCCGACGCATGCTTGTGTCCGGACGCATGCTTGTGTACGGACGCATGCTTGTGCCCGGTCGCATGCTTGTGTTCGGACGCATGCTTGTGTCCGGACGCATGCTTGTGTCCAGACGCATGCTTGTGTCCGGATGCATGCTTGTGTCCGACCGCATGCTTGAGTCCGGTCGCATGCTTGTGTCCGGACGCATGCTTGTGTCCGGACGCATGCTTGTGTCCGGTCGCATGCTTGTGTCCGGACGCATGCTTGAGTCCGGTCGCATGCTTGTGTCCGGACGCATGCTTGTGTCCGGACGCATGCTTGAGTCCGGTCGCATGCTTGTGTCTGGACGCATGCTTGTAACCAGACGCATGCTTGTGTCCGGTCGCATGCTTGTGTCCGGACGCATGCTTGTGTCCAGACGCATGCTTGTGTCCAG